TCGTTCCCCTCTCAATGAAGGCGTAACCTCACTTCCTGAAGGAAGGTGGGAGGGGAACGAGAAAGAGAAAATAATGCGGCTCCACTCCATCCCCAGAGGGGAGATCAGCGAGGACACAGTCTAGACAGGGGTTGGACAGCAGGGACCTGTAATTCCTGTCTCATTTGTTTTCACCTTTCTCGGGACAGGCACTGGTGCAGTTCCTGTGTCTCCCTCAGCTCCTAAAAGGGACCAAGTTGTAGGTTCCAGACTTAAAACAAACAAACAAACAAACAAACAAAACGAAACCAAACAAAAAACCACCCCAAAAACCACCAGAAAAAGACTACTGTTGAACTTTAAAACACCTTTTAAATTACACTTCTATTGCACAGAGTTTTTGCAGCTTCCACTGGTAGCAACCTTTGGAGAAGCTGAACAACAACAAAAAAATCAGAGCCATCAAAAGGCCTCGCAGACCTTTTCTGCAGGGAAAAGAGGTCCACATGTTGTGGAGGAGCTTGGAGAAACGAGCGGTACTGAGAGAAGAGTTCTGTCAACAGAAGACCTGAGCTTCAAAATGGTACTGCAAGGAGAATGTGTCTGACTGGATTGTAAAAAGCGTCCAGCACAAGGATGGGAGAGAAAAAGAAAAGCGCAGTAAACCGAAGGGCAGGGCTGGAATGATGACAGGAGGGAAATCAGCTTCAGCCTATCCCAGCACCTGGGGAAAAAGCCTCACAGTGCAATTCAGGGGAAATTTAAAAAATGAAAAATAAGCAGTTTAGCAGGATTGAAATCAGAAAAATGTGATTTAAATAGGCAAAGTTAAGACCAGGTTGCTTGGTTATAACAGATGATGTAGAAGGGTAACAGTTTAAAACAGTGGCATGGGGTAAGACTGTTAGGTAAAAGAGGGCAAATAAACCAGAGGACATGACTGATAGGTTGACTAAGAAAAATGGAACTTTCTGAAGGGAATTCCAGTAGTTTTACAGGTGCAGATAAGCATGTCGGAACCCAAGGGCGCACGTAAGCACCTAAGGCCGGTACTTAGTTTGGGTCGTTCACTCTGAGACAAGTCAGATGGAAATACTTGGCACACGTTCTTTCATCTAATTCCATGGGGGTTTTTCCCAAACGAATGGGAGACATGCATTTACTGTGAATTGCACATCAACTATGTGATTTAAAAAAATCATTTAAAGTAAAATTCCTTTTTTTTTTTTTTTTCTTAATTACCTTTTACATGAGACTCGACTTACTTATCTGACATAGCAATTTGTTCCAACATTGCAGAGCCCGTGTTTGTCTTCCAGTTTCCGGATATGGAAGTTCTCCTGAAAGGGGGAAAATATTACAGAGACAGCCAGTGTATGTATATTTTCACTCTCTTTAATTACTCGGATTTTCACAGGAAAACTATAGCGGTATTTACACCTTTTTCATATCTGGCAGCTTAGAACATCTGAAACGCGAAGAATTCTAACAGGCATCGCAATTGTCAGTAATACTCACTTCACTTGTCGGCATGTTATGAACTATGACAATGCTGTCATAGTTGTGTTCCCCATTTATTCATTTAAGACTTTTTTAAAAAAACAAACCACTAGGATTAAGTGAAAGTGTTAGCAATAAGCTGTTATCAGTTATAAATGGATTGAACAGCCTGTAACCTACTATTACTGCAAATGTCAAGAAACTGAAGCTACAGCTTCTCATTTCAAATCCAGAGCACTGCAGGGTTAGGTCCCAACACTTGAAAATCACGACATTTATCTTTTTAACATCTCCAAAGTGATCTCAGATCTGGTTTAGAGCTGGATTTTGGTTTCTCCTTCGGTTTTCATTCTTTGCTAGTCTACTAATTCATCTAATCAGTTTATGTCACGGCTTGAGTATACCGTCAAGAAGAAAAAAAAAGCAATTTTTTTTTCTCCTCAGACCTTAGGACTGCTACCAGGGCTGGGAAGATAGTACTGTTTTCTGAAACCTAAATGCTGCACTGGGAGTAGGCTAAGGGTACAAATTATGAAGTGTTACCAGTTAGTAAAATAATAGGAACATCTGTAATGTATTAAAAGTACATTAGGCAGCAGCTATAGTTTTCTCTCCATTTTTCTATTAACCTAATTACGAGGGTCAGTAGCAGTTGTGGAGGAATGTTGACTTTTCTATGGGAGTCTCGTAAGTTTAGCTGAATTTCAGAGCATAAAGTTCTTCCACGGTGCCATGTTCATTGTTGATGTGGGAGAAACTAGCGGAAGGGGAAGGTGCATGTTGCGTGCTGTGTGTAAGGTAACTTTGCCCAGTAATAAGGCTACTTTGTGATTTCCACTTCGTTTTTCAAGTGATATTTATGTGTGTACTTACAAATTAAAGGTTTTAAGTTCGTTACTACTTTACACACATATTCTGCATCAGAGAGAGAATACTTCTCACAAATCACAGTTAAACTCCACTGCAAATTTCTCACTCAAAGGCATTCATTTGCATGTCCTATTTAAGGTGTCTTTTAGGAAGCAAGATATGACCCTATCAGGGAGGGAAAGAAAAAAATATCCTGAAGACTTTTAGCAAGTATTTAGTTGAAGATCCTCAGGTGCACTGAGGTAACCTCAGCACTGCTGACTACGGAAGAGAAGACAGTTTGCTTTAAGCCGTGCTTTCGCTCCACAACATTGAAGGAGCCCTGTTGGACCTGAAGCAGCTTCAGGACCGGCTGCAGCGATGCTGCAGGGACCAGATGAGGAGCGAGAGGAATGCTACGGACGCAGACCTAACTGGTGTAACCTCAACAGCGCGTGGGCTGGAGCCATTGATGCCAGGTCTGTCACACAGAAGAACCCCAAAACAACAGGGCTCTTCCATTAGACCACGGTTAAGTGATACACAAAGTACCTGGCCAGACCATCTGGCACTTGAAACCTTAGATATAGTATCTGTAATTCATATATGATTTCCTCTACTGAATATGTAGTTTCCCACCCTTCTTCGCTTCCGTTCTGATAATTGCTGAGGGTCTTTCACATCGTTATTTCCTCCTCTTTTACTAAATACTGAATAAGGTAGAAAAGAACTCCTAATGCTTTTGAGTGCTTTACATTTAGGCTTGACGTGTTTTCACTTGATTTGGTCTTTGCAAAGAAGGAAGGTTTTAAAATTGGGGAAAAAGGAATTATGACTAGTATAAAGAATTCATAGTAACTTGAGCTTCCCCTTTTCAAATACCTTTCTGCTTTATTTAGTACCATTTAAAGTACGCAATCTGAATTGTCCAGACAGGGACTTGTTATCGGAAAAAGACGTAGAAACGTCTACCTGCAATTCTTGTGTAGGTAGCCTGCTTAGTGGTTTCATTCTATAGCTCTGTCTTTCTCTGGTTGATGCGCTCTACTTTTGTTTTATTGACCTTTTCGTCAAAGTACATGAAGTTATGGATTCAGAGTATTGCTTTTGGAGAGGAGATTTAAATGCAGCGTTGTTGTATTTCTGTTTTTCTTCATTGTGTGTGACCCTTTTAACTCTATTTCCTTGAAGTCATGAATTCTGTAGCGGTACCAAGTGTAGTTAAGTATGCGTCACAAAGCGTTTTGAGGAGCTGTGGTATTTAGAGGGATCCAATGTTGCATTTTGGCTATAATCTCCACTGACAGATGATAAGCACCAGTGTTTTGTGAGTCATGGATCCACTTATACCACAATTTCCCACAGAATTATAAAACTGAAGCTCTTAATAACTCTCTTTAAACTACAAAAACAAATGTTCAGCTGGTATTTTTTGTGGTGGCTCTCTAAGTACTCTGTTCCTGTGTCACAGAACGAAATGAGAACCAGCTGTAAAACAATATTCTACTCACATAATGTATATGTATGCGTATGAAGAATTTTTCAGACATTTGCTAAATCTTCTTTGCATGATGCTTTGTAACAATGCCTCATGATTTTTGTCTGTGATTTAACTGTATGAAAGAATCTAGAGAAAAAAATGACCGCTAGGCTTTTAGCATTTGGATGAACCTCTAGTTTCTGAGTAGAAACTTAAAAACAAATAAAAGGTAGGAGGAACAGGCTGTCATTTTAACTTATTTTTGCTGTCCCTTAGGCCAACTGCTTCTTCTGTGAAGAAGAAACATTTATGTTTGAAAATGATAAATTTACCATGGCTGACTCTTCCAAAATTATTCTAGACACTGAACAGCATTTAAATTTCAAGTCAAAGAAAAAAATGTAGGGCGCTCTCCTATGAAATGTCGTGGTCCAATTTCTACCATAGGGAATGAACCATCAAGTTACTAATATTGCATCTGACTGCTGGTATCTGGCGATGTGTCATAACCATTAAGAGCTGGGCCTTACTCCTAAGACTCTGCCACTTGGGAGCTGTAAGACAGAGACAAATCAACTCTCTTTATTATAAACAAGAGAGGAGGGGAGAGATGGGTAGCACAACACAAGAAATCTGCCTGTCAAAGCACCAACAAGAGAGAGAAGTACTATTCCAGCCTTGAAGAGGCAGAAGTAGTTGTGTGAAAAGGTCCGAGGTCGAGAAAGAAGGCTGGCTGGTGACTGGAAGTAGAGGGAGAACAAGACTCTTGAATGGCACCGAGTAGAATAAAAGGGGCGAGGGAGAACTGGGGGCAATAAAAAAGGTTAGGCATAAGGGGTAAGGATTAAGAGATGAAAAGGTAGAAGTGGTCTGGGAAAGCGGTGGGACTGGACCAAGATATGATTTGGACAGATAGGAGAGGTGACTTTGGGCTGTAGGAGTTTAGTGATACTAGAAAAAGTAGGATGGATGTCTCCAGGTAGGGAGCTGAAGCCAGGGAAAGTCAACAGCCTGGAACACTAATGTAAGACAAACAAGCAGAATTGGAATTAACTTTCCCAGAGACGCCAGGGGATAAAAGCTGTATCGTTCAGACGCGTTTGTTTGTGATTCTTATTGCCTATAGGGAGAGGTGGGGCAGGCCCAACACACCTCAAATTCTGGGAGCTCGAATCACAGAGTTTCTGCATCACTAAGACGACTGAAAATCACCAACAAAGAATTCCAGAAACCTCTCAATCCTCACAAGCTATTTGAGCGTTCTGCTCTCGTCACTGCGTACCACTCAAATTTCCAACACACTGTTTTTGCAAAATTTAGATAGTTTTGGGTTCAAAATAAAGCAGAAGGATTGAGTGTCCCTACTGCTAGATGGATCTGACCTATGGGAACAGTATTTTCAAAAAAAAGCACCTCTGCTGTGCTTTCTTGAGGCCCCTCAGATGTACTGTGAGAGGCAGAGAGACTACTGAGTTGTTCCTGAAGGCCTGGTCTTTGATGTTCTTTCTCAAATACCCCTTCAAGTCTTATGTCAGGAGAGGCTAGCAGTTACTCATACAGTTTTGATCTTCGGACTGTAATGTCTTCGGGGAGAAGTGAAGAGTACGTGGCCTTCCAAGGAGATATATCCACCTAAGGAGATATATTTTGCCTCTTCATCCCCCGCTGGGCAAAAGGTTCTACCTTCTCATAGACCTTGTTGGCTGTTCCTAAATTACCTGATACTTAATGCTAATTCGACCTTTAATATTATAAAACATTTCATGCATTTTCTTTAACCCAGCTCCAGCTTTTGCTTCACCTCCTATTTATGATTTGCTTGGAGTTCAATTATTTTTACTGATAAAAAACTTGACCGTACCTTAAAAATGTCAACATACAAGAAATCTCTGATTCCTCCACTGTTACAGGAGTCCCTGGTGAAATACCTTTGTATGTATATGTGGGTGTGCATATGTAAATGCATGTGTGTATTTTTATCCATGTTTTGTTATATTTTTCCTGCCTCAGAATTGTGAGCGTGAGGGAACGAACACATGAGATGATCTAACTTGCCTTAAAAACATGAATGAAATGAGTGTATGTCAGATTACATTGCTTGATAATTGAAATAGAGTAAAAATATGCATAAAGACAGTTATCACATCTCAACTACTACGTGACAACCTGTTATGCTGCTCAAGCTTAATGTCTCTGAAACTGAAACATCCTTTGACTCTCATATAGTCATGATCTTTAAACAAACACCTGGATTCTTCTTCTCTCTAGAAGAGATTTTCAACCATATATATGTGAAGATCATTGCAAGACTAGATTTTTTTTTACATCTGTTATGTTGAGAGTACTTTGTTTCCTTAAAGTGTTATGATTCAGGTTTGTGTGAATGAATGCCACCCAAATACCCTTGGAGGGAGAAGAAAATTTGACTCTAAGTTGGTGAAAAGATACAAAGGAATCTGATTTAACAAGTCCTTTATAACAACAAATCCCCTTCCGACTGCACCTTTCTTTAAAGGAAAAAATAAACAAGGGTTAGCAGGAAAACCACTCTGGCAGGCTCACCTGTTGTCTTATTCTCCTCCTCCCAGTCACAATCAACTTTAAAGTAAGTCTTGATAAATCTAGAATGCCTAAAACACTGTCTTTCCAGAAAGTATGACAATGGAGGCATGGAGTCACCGCATCGGCTCAGAGACTCATCCAACAGTCTTAATCTTATTGGTGCTTATCAGTTTTGAAACAATAGGATGAAAGAAGATAAGGTTTTGGCTCACATGTATGCTTTGTAGTTACTGCCTATCTTTTGGATCCTGATGTCATATTTGGAGTCTATGAAGGGTTCAGTAGTGGCGTAGGTCTGAGTAAGTGCTACCACGCTGGCTATGTCCTGAAAATCGTAGTGGTTGTCTACCTTGATCTGTAGTCATCATACCACAAGTAAACAGCATATACAAAAGAAAAAAGAGCAATTAGGAATATAATGTAGAGTTCAGTTGCAAATGGCATTCATGAGAAGTATGTTTTTTGACAGCATATCAGTTTATAAAAAAAAGTATCGGATTTCTAGATTCTATAACATTCCCGCATTAAAGTATCTATTTTTCTAGGCAAATATTATCTCTTCATCTGTAGAAAGCAATTTTCAGACAGCGGAATTTTATTTTGCTTTTCAATTTTTTTTTTTTTAAGTGGCAATTTTTAATTTTATATCTGCAGGCTTTAGAATTTTTCAAGGTGTGATAACATGCAACACTAATTTATATAGAATTCTTGTTGATTCTGTACATCACTCATGTAAGTGAATGTATATGGAGCCCACCATGTACTATCACACCACGTATCTCCCGGGAGGGAGGAGATGAAGGGTCGTGATATCCTGATGAATGTACATTCACATGGAGCACAGAGGGTTGGCTCAAGACAGCAGAACCAGTTTTTCTTATTTTTTCTCACTTCTCTGCATGGAGTCAGGCTTTCGAGGAGTAGGATTTCCTCGTTGTGGAACACTGTGCTGAGACGGCGAATGGTACTAAACCCGTCAACTTTAACGTCTTGAAGTAAGAGGGAAGTGGAAAATTGGGGAATATTGAAAAGTGGGGAGAGGCAGAAGGAGACGTTAGAGGACAGATGGAGGCATCACTTTTGGACAGGGAGAGCACAGCTCTACAGTTGACTTAAAGGAAGCTGGATGCAGTGAGGAGGAAGGATGGCTCAGAAGAGAAGTCTCTCAGGGCTAGTAGAAAACGGCAGAGGGAAACTGGGACTCCACCACATTGACCCAAAGCACATTTCAGAACGGTGAGGATAGGAGGCAGGGATTAGTATTTCTCAGGTTATCTACCGTTAGAGAGTCTGCAACTCTTTGCAAGCCCAGCGTCTTGTCTGCTTCCACTGTCACCTGGTACTTAAAAGGGAACCTGTGGGGCAGAGTGCCGCAGCTGTGAGACGGGACTAGCGTATCTCATGGGGTCTGGTGAAACTCAGAGAAGTCATAAGGCCTCAGTATTTGCTTTCAACTCTCAGATGGAGAACAATACAGAGTAATTTGCTGTTTGAGAGCCACAAAACCAGACACAATGCCCGGTTTCAACTTAGTTTCTGAAAACTTAATAGCATATGCAAGTCTAATTACGAGCAATGGAAATGCTACGCCTAGCCCTGCCTTTAGGGAGGACTGGGGGACGAGGAGAACCTTCATTTGGACCCTGACAGTAAGCGTTTCACTTCAAAAGACTAGCATTTAATCTTCAAGGATTTAAAATATTTTACAGCTAAAAAAAAATCTAGACATATTCCTGGACATTTGCTACGCAGAACATTTGTGTGCATTATTTCCCTTTTCTATAAACGAGAGGTGAACATCGAAAGTACAGTATAAGCATTCTACTACTTCACACATGCAATCCACAGAGCCTGCAGCTGAAGTAATGAGTGGTAAGTTCCGCTCTCAGTTACACTGGCTGCCAGATTTCCACTAACTAACTTAAGTACGAAATAAAAGCAAAAGACTCATAGGCAGAAGAACATAACATACCGTATGACTTGCATAATTACTGAATAAAATACAATTAAATCGATTTTCTATTTCTCTTGCTAGTGGCAAATATTATATTTGCGGAGCTTTTGGAGATTCAAGATGATAAACGTAACTGTTCTCTGATGATTTGTTTTAAAATCTAAAGCACTTAAAGCACTGAAGTGTTTTCAGTGAGAGAAAGTGGTTAATCTGCAATGACTAGAAATTTTCACTGGTATCAATGAAAGCGGGATTTAAACCGTATCCCATTGAACCATCATTGTGAGAAAGTGATATCAAAACAACTGTACTCACCACTGAAATGCAATTACTTTGGAGAAAGAAAGCAGCAGTTATATAGCGGTATGAAACAATCACAGAGAATACATTAAGACAGGAAATGAAGAAAAGTTCAGTATCAGGCTGAAAGTAGTAAAGAACCAAGGCAAAACCTTCCTATATTCCCAGGTCCAAAAAGTTGGATTGTGCAAACAGACCTTGACTCTTAAATAGTTTCACTGCAGTCAACTAAATTAATAAATAAGGTTCTGCTTCAAGAAAGCATCTCGGCACGTTTCGAAGAGTATCCTGTACAGGACAACACATCGACTGAAAAGGCACCCATGTGAAAATATATGGTGCGTTTTAGTATTTTCCTAAAGCGAGGTGCTTTCTTGAATAATACACAAGCAGAGATTTGCAAGGGTAGGGATCCGAGACAGAATTTGGACAGTGAAAAGTTAAGATATCCAGGAAACAAAAGAACATGCATGTTATTTTAGGCAAACCCCCGGCCTCCTAACATGCAACAAGTAGCATCTGCACCTTTCCCATGCCTGAATGAGCGTGTCCAATCTTCACAACAACAGGAAATGTTGGCATTGTTAGCTAAGGGGGGAAACAAAAAGGACGTATTAGAGAGAGCAACCATGAGTTAAACGAGTAAGCTACATCATTTATGGAAATCATTTAAACATGACCACAATGCAGCCAAAGCTGTTCTTGCCACGTGGTTATTCCAACATGTTGTTCCTCTGCGTAAGCCTCTGTGTTCTGATGAATTACTGTGCATCTTTTCCGAGCGCTGTGTTATTCCCAACACATACCATTGGTGTACTTCTATCTTAACTTTTTTGTATGTCTTTCGACTTCGCTTTTTAAACCGCATTTCCGCTATTTCTTATTTTATGTTTTGATACTGTGTTTTCTGACCCATAAACTCACATTCTCCAAGGGTCTAATCATTAATGATGTCAAATTAATCAACTTTTTCCTTTTCCCCTTGATTTACATTATTTAGCAAGTAATTGTAAATTCTGTGAATTCTTTTTTGTGACCACTTATGAAAGTAATCATGTCTAATGCACCAAAAAAATTTTCTTTAAAGGCAGATCCTAGCTTCTGCTACAGAATATCCAAGTTCTCTAGGGAAGGATTGCATAGAATGCAAGTAGTAACTCAGCCACTGATTAGGAAATCAAATATGCAAAGGCATATGAATATGCTTTATTCAATCAAACGATTATGGTTCTATCTCTCAGAAAGTTCTGTGAATAACCAGTTTCACTTCCACCATTCATTTGATGTCCCAGTCATGGGTACAGCTGTCACTTCTTTGTCTTTTTCTTCCACCTAAAATGTACATATATTGAGCCTCTATCAACCAAGCATGAATACAATACTTCGCAGAACAGGATTATAACTAGAAATAAAAAACTGAACAGCCTCAGCGTGTAATTAAACTGGGCAGCAGCAGGACACTAAGTGTTACGGCGTTTGAAACCTTCATTTAGTACCAAATTTTAATAGAGTAAATACAATCAAAGGCAAGGTTGATGCTTCAGAAAATAAACTAAGAATTGTTAAGAGATTTTACGAGAAATTTATCTTCCAAATACTTACAAAGGATTGACAAGGGGTTAAGCGGAGTTCACACATCTCACTGTGCTTTGCCCAACATCGCACAGAAGCACACAAACATATTTAGGTAGAAAATGTCACGGGACTGTAAATACTGACATTGAGATCAAGAAGTAAGAAACAGGAAGGTCACTTGGCTTTTGGGAACATCCAAACCTATCTGTAGGGTCACAGAGCTAACGAAAATTCACACATGCTTTTCCTGTATTTTAAACATTTATTTTCAATATGCATTTAAGGATGCCTGCTTTAAAAACACCTGAACCGAAAGCCAAGTCTGCACAAGAACAAGTGGGCGTTCACTGCGAGGTACACTTTCTACACTAACTGTCAGATTCCCAGGGCAATACTCTCTTTCTTTCTTTTTTTAAATGGACTTTTCTAAGATGCATACCAAAGCAATATTGTTTTGTTCTGACTTTTAAAAAAACAACATATAAAGGACATCTAAGCAAACGAAACCAAATTGCTTGTTTTTTGGCAGGATCTCAGTTTCTGCTCTGCCCCATCAGAGGAAAAAGGAGGAATCTTTGGATCTACTCCTTTAATCTGTCGGAGTTTCCAAAGTCTGATGAAACTACAGGCTCCTACAGTTGTCATCCACTCAACACAGGCCATGGAAGATTTTCATTGATTTCTGCATCAAACCCAAAGCCGTATCTTTTCAGGAGAAAACCAGATTTGCTTTAAAGACTTGCAGTTATGGAAATTTTACAGCAATCCTCGTTAAATTATTCCATGAGTTAAGGAAGTATGTCATATACGTGTCTTCTGCCAGGGCATCCCGGAGACCTGAAATCAAGGATTACTGCCACAGGCAGTGGAAACCAGCCCTGAGTGCTTGACATTACATGTGCGGCCACATTTCAGTGCCTGTGTAAAGGCAACTTGTATCTTTTGCAGAAATTCTGTGTACTTAGTCTAACACTGTAGGGATCGATAACTATGAAAGTCTTTTATTTAAGTTTCGTTCAGGAACCATTTCAAGAGCTGGTCTTTAAATCCAAAATACATTGAATTGCTTTTTACAGATCTGTTTCAATCTAACCAATTTAAGTTCAGGTCCGTAAGCAGGAAAAAAATTTTATATAATAGTTTCAAAACAGGCAAAAGCACTCGCAAGAGCATTTTACAGTAAAGGTCACCATTACTGCAATTTAAAAATAAAGTTCTTGCTAAACCGTAAGAATGCAAAGTCCCGTATAGTCAACATCTAGTCACTTATTTATTCCTTTCATAACCGGCCACTGGGGTTTTTCTTTTTCATTATTGGCGGGGGGGAGCAAATCATAGCAATACATACGGGCAGCGCCACATCGTTACGATTGAACTATAAACCACTGAACTGGGGTTTGTAATGGAAACGCTGGCAGACCTCTAACTACAGCAATACAAAAGGCACTCCTGTAATTAGAGGACCACGTCTTTCGCCCATGATCCCAACGCTGTGGAATCCTCTGTGGACCACGGGAACACAGAGTAACTAAAATAAAAAAAAAAAAAAAAAAAAAAAAAAAAAATAAAAAAAAAAAGAAAAAGAAACTCTGCTTTCTCCCTCAGAGCAATGTGCTAACACATTTAAGGCAGTAGAGTTCGTTTTGCTCTGGAGCCCACGCTGAGGGTCGCGCGTGGTACGCCACATCCCAGTACAGGCAAGAGAAGAGGTGGCGGCAGGGGAAAAGGCACGGAACGCTGCTTTCCCAACCGCGGGCAGAACAGCCCAGCCAGCAGAGAAGGCAGACGGATAGGAAGTCACCTCCGCGCTTCTCTTGCTTCCAGCTATCGCTGCGCAGGCCCACGAACCCAGGGCTGATGAAGCTGTATTTTGGTTTTTGAACGGCGTTTCCTCTGTTCCCGCTCTTACTTTAACTACCCGAGTTTCCCCTTTGTACGTGGGAACCAGACACGTGCCGTCGTGCAGTCACTTCCCCGCCGCTAACTGGTTTCCAGTTGTGCGCGGTGTTGTTCTGTCAAGCAGCAGCAAAGCCTGAAATTTCTTATGGAAATGACGGAGACCTTGATGTGAGTCCTCCCGCCACCTCTTCCCAACCTGCTCTTGAGGTTAATTTCTGTCTTAACAGAACGAGCAGTCTCAGGACCTCTCATACGTCTGGGCAAACGTTATGTAGGATACAACTGCAGTAGTAACACCAAAAGCTTCCCGGCTCCATGGTTTCCTCTTAATTTACGTTATAGTTACTTGGTAGAGAGATACCTCGAAAGAAGATCTAGCATGTATCAATGGATCCACTTAAACAGAGTCGATACTAATAGGACTCGTTGCATGTTTTCTTTGAAATGTATTTCTTTGGGGGAAATGCCATTTTGCAAAAGTATTGCTCATTTTTAAAGGTTTTCTTAAATTCAGAAAAGTATAAATTCTACTGTGACAATTAAAAACAGGGGAAAACATCAGAAGAGATGAACAACAGAAATTACATCAAGAATTCTGGCAAGTTCCTAGGTATGAGAGATGGAAATGGACTACACTGCATGAACCCTCACACGTACATATAATACACATGAAATACAACTGAACATTAAAAAAAAAAAGAAATTAGGATAAACAGGACTTCCGTTATAGCTTAAATAACAATAAATTATAATTATTAGCGTGAGAGAAAACAGCATACACGTCCATAGGTGTATATGAATATGATCGGATTGGAATAAACATTGGTAGCAACTGGAAAAACCGTCATGGCTCTTTGTAGGAACCCATATACAAACCAGCTGAGATACATTACTGATACTTGCTCGTACGGTAGCACTAACCAAAGTAACATCACTGAGTATTAAAAAGTTCTGTCAGCTCCTAAAAACGACAAAGACTGATTCAGTCTATACGCTTTCGTCTCTGTGCTTTTAACCTCTTACATTGTTATTCTAAATAAACGTGAAGTCTCATTTCAACAGAACCTTAACTTAGAATAAGCTGCACTGTGCTCGCTTCCACGCTTAGGACTAGGTACTACTACCAGGAGGTACTGCCGCGACCTGTGAACTTAAAGACGTGTTCCCCAGGAGAGCAAAAAGTAGATTATGTTTTGCAGATAAAAGGCAGCAGTAAAAAATCTTTTGAAGCAGAATCGTTTTAAAATCTGGGTAACAGAAGTCTACATTCTTGTTCCAAACTGAGAAATAGTTAGCGTGGAAGCTGCTTTCCTGAAACGACATGTTTGAACGGTTTCTGTCATATACTAATAGCATGAATTAAGTCTACATAGTTAATGGCCAGACAACCCTGAAGGTTTGAAGGAGGGCACCTTCAAACCGGGCGTTACTCACGTTTGACACGGGCGTAATGAGCGTAGCAGTAACACTTTAAAACCCCGCGGCAGGCTGGGCCCTTGTCTAAGCGTTAGAAGTCTAACCCCGTCTCGGTTAACCGCACTGCGGAAGGGTTCAAGGATGGAGGAAAATGAGGGATTAAGTATTGGAAGTGATTAAATTCTTAATGGAAATAACACAGTATATATGGGTTTAAAATGTGACTGTCATATCCTGTCTGAAACATCTTTATGTTTTTAGTAACATGGCTATCTTTTCCCTATCCAAATCACTATATATTAGTATTTTTCATTCAAGAGCTCATTTGCATGGCATTTAACTCCTTACTATCACTTTATTTTACATAACTACTTTTATTTTCTTATTTTCAAGGCAGGCCAGTTGAAAATAGTTCCTTTAACGGCGTTGTATGAAGGTCACTAAAACGTGTTCTGCAACAGGCCTGATACGTTTTTTTAGACGAACACATTTGAAGTTAATTGGCGCCGTCCTCATAGGAGCAATCGGCCTGACACGAGCAGATTTGATTTTTCAGCCATATACTTGCAATGGGCCTACAGCAGCTGGCAAGCCGGCTCAAACCTGAGCTTGACCGGTAGAGCTTCAAACTACCACGAGATCCGGACTCCACCACCTCCACGGGTAAACTGGAGGCCAACGTACAAGCCTCATACTCT